TCATCACTATTATTTGGTGCTAGAGATGGAACCCAGGGGCAATCTACTGCTGAGCTACATTCCCAACTATTTTATTTATTTCATGTTGAGATATATCTTGATAATTTGCTTAAGGCTGAACTCAAACTTGAGCTAAGATACTCAGGCTGAATTCAAATCTTGGAATCCTCTGGTCTCAGCCTCCTAAATCACTGTGATTACTAGGATTACAGTCTTGCACCACTCACCCAGCTTGAACATCATTTTATTTTAAAGAGAAGTAGAGCCAGGCAGCCTGGCATACACTTGTAATCCATCACTCAGGAGGTTGTATCAGGAGGATAACAAGTCCAAGGCCAGTCTCAGAAACATAGCAAGCCCCTTAGCAATATAGTGAGATTCTGTCATAAAAACAAAAAAGAATAGGGATGTGGCTCAATAGTAAAGCATCCTTGGGTTCAATACCTGGTATCAAACTTAAGTCAATTAAAAAATAAAAATAATTAAGTTAAATTTATAATAATAAAATAATTAAAGTAAGTAGAATGATAATCATACAAGAATGATGTTTAAAACTAACCTGTGTGTATAATGTACATAATGAGATTTGGAATAGCATGTGCATGGAATTTTCCACAAATGGTTTCCTATCCTTAAAAGTAATCTTCCTTACCTAGTTGATTCAATGTTGGTTACATAAGAAAACACTGTTCAGTAAATTTGAAGTAGATTATCTAAGACATGACTCGTGCCATTGATTTTTATCAAGTCAAAATTGTTTCCACACAGAAAGTTCTTAAATCACAGCTCATTCCAAGATGACTTTCATCTTATAGGAGAAATGCAGATATGACATAAAACCATCCAATAAATAAATAAAGTTTTATTTATTAAAAAATAAACAGCCAGGAAGCAATTTTGATATATTTTCAGAATGAGAGCAATTCTCTAAAATACGTTCAAGAAAAGAAAAATCCTTCACTGACTCAGGGGATACAGATGTATAGGACCAGCCTTCACAGCAGTCTCTTCCAGAGATCCATAGGCACCTTGCCCACAGCTCCACAGGCAGAAAAGACACATTGATAATCAGTCTGAACTTCAATATCCGAAATTTTAACTAGCTTCACACATCTTTCAACCACGTCTTTATTGAATTTTTCTAAAGGCTGAATCAGAGAGTTAGGAAGAGTGTCAAAGTCTTTAGCACCAGTAATTAAAATAACAGTTTTTAAAGGTTACAAGTTTTTCTTCCAAACATTAATTTAAGTATCAATATTTTCACAAAGAATATTTATGAACTGATTCATTCTTTGGAAGCGCTTTGTACAAATAAAAATCATCTCTTACTTCATTGACATGATTATTATGGCTATCATTTTGTCATTATTCAGAACCTACAGCAAACCAAGCATTGAAGAAGAGAAACAAAGACTTGCAGGTGTGAGTAGAATCAAACTGAGGTAGTATTGTTATGACATTAATGTTCTTGCACTTTTGTAATGATGTCTTAAATATTTTTTAAAGAACTCTATGAATTTTAACTGCAGAAAGCCCATGAAATATGAAACTATGAAGAAAAAATTAGTAAACCAAGATCACCTTTCCTTCCTATGTGAGCTGGCTTCATTCAGTTCCTCTTATTTTTATTTTTTTTTTTTGGCAAGCATGTGTTTAATTTTAATTTTTATTTTTTTTATTGATTGTTCAAAACATTACAAAGCTCTTGACATATCATGTTTCATACATTAGATTCAAGTTGGTTATGAACTCCCATTTTTACCCCAAATACAGATTGCAGAATCACATCTGTCACACATCCACATTTTTACATATTTCCCTATTAGTAACTGTTGTATTCTGCTACCTTTCCTATCCTCTACTATCCCCCCTCCCCTCCCCTCCCATCTTCTCTCTCTACCCCATCTACTGTATTTCATTTCTCTCCTTGTTTATTTACCCGTTCCCCTCACAACCTCTTATGTGTGATTTTGTATAACAATGAGGGTCTCCTCCATTACCATGCAATTTCCCTTTTCTCTCCCTTTCCCTCCCACCTAGTGTATCTGTTTAATGTTGATCTTTTCTTCCTGCTCTTCCTCCCTGCTCTGTTCTTGGTTGTTCTCATTATATCAAAGAAGACATTTGGTATTTGTTTTTTAGGGATTGGCTAGCTTCACTAAGCATAATCTGCTCCAGCTGTTTGAGAAGAAGAATCAGCATGTGCTTCGAATGCTTGAAGCCTACATAACATCCAACCTCATGTTGGTGTTACTGAATGTAACTAGCCTTAACACAGTGACATAACTGGGATAGCATTTTACAGAGATCCTCAACCATCAAGTAAATAGTCCTGAGATTCTGCCTTTTAGATCTTGGGTTAGTAATTGAGCTACAAATCAGTTCATGATTCCTTTTCCATTTATGGAAATACATATGAGACATGGAACTGCTATTTAGAGGGCAGCAAAGTCACCAAATACATTATATCTTGGCTTCACAAAAATCTTTGATTTGATAGGCAAGGAATATTCTAAAGTGGATGCCAATTCATAAAGCTCAAGGAAAAGTTAGATACAGCTTTTTTTAATCAGTGTCACTACCCAAGAGGACTTGGACACATTTGTGTCAAGAGATAATAAAGAAAAATTCTATGAGGGGAGAACAGTAGGGATGGGTCAGGACTTCTTATACCTCTTCCTTCCATGCAATATGTGTGTAAGCACCTCACACAAAACATGCACGAAGACTGAATGTAACTAGTAAAATATGTGTTTTCTTAACATATCTCTTAGGTATCTAGGAAGGTATTACATACTTCCCAAACTACTATTAAAACCCTTTCCTTTGTCCTCTGATTACAAAGCACTTGATGAAGGGCATAGTGTGTACTCCTCATTGAATTCAGTGAATTTTCTGAGCAATCCACAGGGGTTCCCTGCCCTACATGTGAACTGTAGCATGAGGAGGGAGTTTCAGAGGGTATGTCTCAATTGTGGTATGATACCAGGCAGAGCTTGATGAGTGGCCACCTCTTCATTACTTAATAACACTTAGTAAAAATTGCCAAAGGGTATGTCTTAATCCCTTTTCTATTGCTTTAATGAAATATAACAGATTTGGCAATTTATAAGGGAAAGAAGTTTGTGTAGTCTAGGATTCTTTAGGCTGGAAGTTTGAGAAATGTTACCCAGAGTACATTATATTTATAAAATCAAGAAAGAAAGAGGGAAAGGCATAATTACATAGACAGGGCCATCAAATAAAGGAGCAAACAAAGAGCCTTAGCTCCTAATGCAAGATTTTCAAGATAATTCATTGGAAGTTAGAGACCAGTGTCAAGTCAAGGCACTGACCCTCAGCTATCAAAGTTACAGTGACATCAACTCTGAAACTTGGGACAGCTCTATCCTGATAAAGTTTTAGGAGTTCTTTTGATTTTTGTATTTCCAAGAAAGACACATTGTCTATAAAATGAGATAAAATAAAACGGAAACAGGAGCCTCCCATTTTCTGACACACTGGCTTTTCCTTGCACCCTGTCCTCCCAGGATGGAAACCCAAATGTTGATGACGATGTGAAAAAAATCTAAATCATTTCCACTGCTGGTGGACAGTAGTGATACATCATACAATACTAATGGACCCTGAAAAAATCATGCTAAATAAAGAAGCCAGTCATGAGACACTATAAACACTGTATGATTCCATTTACATAGGAAAAGAGAGGTCTTCCAGTCTGTGCTACTATACCCACCCAGGTTCTCTTCTTAGTTACCTATTCTAGTAAGGGATGAAGGAGATTGGTATATATCAAGAACAAGCTGCCAGCCAGTCTATTTAATGAAGGGCAGGGAGTTTTTGCTTATGTCAGAACTTGTAATACATATACCACTTAAAAACATGTGTATAAATTTGAAGTTTTAATGGTTTAATGTCCCCAAAAGTGATGACTCTCTTCTCACTGCAAAATGTTCCCAGCAGTTGGCAGCCACTCTTCCATTTAACATGCCAAGAAGTATGAGCCAATAACCTATTGAAAATCATAGATGTATTCTAGACTTTTCCAGCTCCTATTAAAACAAAATAATTTATTTTTACATATAACTTTCTTCTAGTTTTGCTTGAAGAGATTAGAAAAATAAGAAGACACCCATCAATCTTTAAGCAGGGATGGATTATCTGTCATAGATAAGGCAGTTTTCTAGATCTAGAAGTCAAGAGAATGAATTACCTGTTAGTGATTAATGTGGAATTTGGCAGAAGCACAACAGAGATGTACCCAGGCAGTGAATAATCACCCACCGAGTACTCTATGTAGAAGACATTAAGCTGGGAACTAGAGATTCAACAACTAAGAAATAATAGACCCTTGAGGCTTTCACTGGCTGCACAGACAGAAGGCCAGATTTAAAATGAGAGATATTATTGGAAATAGTGTCAAGAGGTTAATGGAAACCAATATAGCAGAATTGGCTAACAGATATATTGCATTTAAAAACAACTGTAACTTGATAATTATGACCTTTCATAACATATAATAGTTAATCAAAAACACAAAACAAGTTAAAAACCAATTTAAGGGGAAATTATCATATAATAGTTAATCAAAACCCACTTGAATCAAACTGTGAAAGATGATGTATTAAGAACTGTGTAATGTTTTGAACGACCAACAATAAAAAAAAAACACAAAACAAGTTAAAAACCAATTTAAGGGGAAATTATCATTATTACTAATTCTCATCTTTATTACTAGACTTAACAATGCACAATGGCATTTAGAATAATTGTATTATTTATCACTGCAGAACAAAATACCACCCATATCAGAGAGAACATTCTATCAAATAAACAACCAATGAAAATCTACATCATGTATAACCACTAGAATGGGATCCTAATTAGAATGTTATACTGCATATATTTATAATGTGTGAAAATACATTCTACAGTCATGTATATCTAAAAAGAACAAATAAAGAAAAGAAAATATATAAAGAAAAACAAACACCTTCCTCTCAATTTTAGTGGCTGAAAACAGCAGTTTTATTTGCTCACAATGCTTTTTGGGACAGAGTCAGATGAAAAGTTCTTTGCTTATCTTATTTGAGATTATTCATGTGACTGTACCCTTGGAGTCTGCCTCTTCCAGGGTGGGCTCAATTCAAAGATCTTATCTCAATTCTATGGGATCTTTCCCCTCAAGAGGCTGGTCCAAGCTTCCTAAATCAGAAAAAAAACATATTTCAAAAGGTGGGAAGAAAAAATCCCAAATCCTCTTAAGCCCTGGGATCAGTTGTTGCAAACATCCTTTTGGTCAAAGCCAGTCACATAGCCATTCCAGAGAAGTAAATGGGGAAAACATTTCTAACTCTTAGGAAGGGTCCATAAAGTCACATTGCAGTGAGATGTGAATTTAAAAACTTGAGAGAATTGTCTCAACAATCTATGAATATGACCTCTTAATTCTCAGATTCTCAGGACTCCAAATACCTAATTTCCACAATATCTGAGAGTTCTTTTCCTTTGCTTTCTTGATGTTCTTATTTCAATTGTTTCTAACTGCATTTGGAAATCATCAAATTATAAACATATTAGCTTTACAAATAATCAAGTTTATATAGTATGTATTTTATAAAGTTCACTCTTTTCACTGTACTATGTAGGTGTAATACTGTTTACATATGTATTATGAAATTAGATAACAATAAGGGTTAATGGTAAGGAAAATGATAAACATGCTGTCTTCTCACAGCTGTACTCCACTTTCTTAAGACCACTGTTTGAAAGCTTCTGATTAATGTAAGGCTCTTCTTGTTTGCCATTAATTTCAAAGGAATTAATTAAAAATCATATAGTAAATGTATACCAAGCACTCACTTTCCCCTCAGATTCATTTGTTAGAGCCCTACACTTACAGGTTTGGTATTTGCAAATGAGGACTTTGGGAGGAAATTAGAGTTAGATAAGTTCTTGAAGATAAGTTCTGCCATGAATTTGTAATTCTCTGTAATTCTCTGTAATTTTTTAGGAAGATAGGTCTCATGTTAAATGTGCTTACCATGAAAACAGACAAAAACTGATAAATAATAGTTGAAATTACACAAGTCACTTGAATTTGTAATTCTCCATGGTGATATGCCTCTTAATATATTCTCTCCTTTTCAGACACTTAAAGTTAAGTGACCACTATAAAATTGGAAACCCTTATGTTTACAGTACTATGTGCAATTTTAGATAACTTGATAAAGGAAATAGAAATAAGAAAACATGTCACACATGCACATACACACACACAAACACACACAGTGTGCAGGAATGCAGATAGGTAGAACATCAGGCCTTGCACATACTAGCCAATAACTATAACACAGAGTGACACCCCAAGCCCTTAATTAATATTTTTTATATTATAATTAAAGAAAGTGCATTTTGCTTTTTTAAAAAAACTCAAACTGACTAAAAATATTTTGAGTTCAGTGATAGTCACACTTAATATTGAACAAGCAATAGATTCATCTCAAAAATAAGCTTTCCAACTGTTTCTGCTAGCTATTGAGATGATCATGTATTGTTTATTGAGATGATCATGTATTGTTTATGTTCTTCTCCATTCTGTTAATGTGGTGTATTCATTAAATTTTCCACATGAAGAATAAATTCCACTTGTTTCTGGTTGCATAATCCTTTTCATGTTTTATTGAATTAAGTTTGCTAGTATTAATTGAGGATATTTTTTCATCTCTACTTATCAGGGACTGTTTACATTTCTTATCTTTATAGTATCTTTGTGAATCTTCAGTATCAGGGTAATTCTGGTCTTATATAATAACTTTAGAAGTATTCATCCTTTTTCAATTGTTTCGCATAGTTGAGAATTATTGGTATTAATTGGTTAAATATTTGGTAGAATTTGCCTGTGAAGAAAACTGGTCCTGGACTTTGCTTTGTTATGAAGCTTTTGATTATTGATCTGATCACAAATAAATCAATAAAAAAGTGTGGCACTTGATTTCAATGGAATATTATTCATCCTAAAAAAGAAAGAAATTCCTACCATATGTGGTAACACAGATGAACCAGGAGAACATTATGTAAGTGAAATAAGCTGGATATAGAAGGACATATGCTGCAACATTCCACTTTTTTTGAGGTTTCAATAGTGGCTAAACTTAGAAATGTAGAGTATAATGGTGGTTGCCAGAAGTTGGGGGAGAAGAATGGGGAAAATACAAGTTTCTGTTTAATAGGCATGAATTTTCAGCGGAGTTCAAGAGATCTGCTACACAATATTGTGCCAATAGTTAATGATGGTAAAATGTGTATTAAAAGTTTTTTAGGAAGATACCTCTCATGTTAAATGTGCTTACCATGATAACAGACAAAAACTGACAAATAATAGTCTTCATAGATTATTTTATGGCAATTACTTCTATTAGAATGAGGGAAGATTCAGTTAATATGCTCAAAATTTGCACCAGAAGAAGTGACCTGAAAAGCATCCCTTCACTCATGAGTTTCATCAATAGGTCTCTTTGCAGGTTTCATCTACCATGAGGTTATTCTGGCAAGATTCTGAGATAGCCTTACATTCTCTCATTCTTAACAGGCTGCAGCAGTTATTCTACCAGGAGATTGGTCACAGAAGCACCTGGATATTCTTAGTCAAAGTCCCTGTATGAGAGTCCTGAATAATTTGTAACTCCTGCCATGAGCTCAGCTCTAATTTATTATACCTTCTCACTGCAGTTGCCTATATGTGTAGTGCCAGCACACAAAGCACAGGGAAGAAGACCATCACCAGCTCCACACATAATTCCAAAACAAGACGCTCAATGAAGTTACATCCCACTTTACAAAAACCCCTTATTAAGAACAGAGCTTTCCTATTAGAGGCTTCATCAGTATTGACTTATGCCCCTTTCTTTTTTCTCTCTCCCTTCCTTCATCCCATCTTTGTGATTCCTTTTATAAAATTTACTCTACTTGTTTCATTCAATGTTAGACTCTAGTGAAATTATTGCTCACATTGTTACAGTGAAAATAAACTCACTTTCAATTGAATTGAATACAAGAAGCCACCAACTATACAAATGACTGAGACCTGTATATAAATGAAGAAAAAATAGCATTCATTCAGAATTGTCCATGAAGCATTTCTCAATAAATAATGTAGATGTTCAATGTCATAGATCCATATCCTAAGCATACTTTATTTTTTAGCTAGTTGAAGCTCTGCCACTAATTGGTTTAATGTGTGAAAGATAATCAAGCATTCTCTATCATATTTTTTGTTTTATTCCAAGAATTATCCTTGCATGAAACCTACCTACTGAGATTCTTCCATTAAATTGTATATATCAGAAAGGTTAATTGCATGTGAATTGTGTTTCCAAAACAACTGATATGGAAAAAGATGGAGGGAGGGAGGGAGAAAGAAAAAAAATACATACTCCTGCATGGTTCATGTGACTATATTTTCTGAGAGTACTGCTAAACAGGGATTCTCAGGGTATCCAGGACAACCCTTTCCCTGATATGTAGGAATACATATGCCCACAGAGATGGGGGAAAGGGCTCCACTATTACCTTCAGATCATATAGTAAATGTATATCAAGCACTCACTTTTCCTCAGATTCATTTGTTAGAGCCCTACACTTACAGGTTTGGTATTTACAAATGGGGACTTTGGGAGGAAATCAGATTTAGGTAAGTTCTTGAAGATAAGTTCTGCCATGATGATATCAGTGTCCTTATTTTTTTTTTGATTTTTTAAGGAAGAGAAACCAGAGGTCACTCACCATCTATGTGCCATGTGAGGACACAATAAGTGCTGCTCTGCAAGCAACAATGAGAGCTCTAACATGAAACCCAGTCTTCCAGTACCTTGATCTTGAACTTGCAGCCTTCAGAACTGTGAGAAATAAATGCTTGTTGTTTCAGTCACACTGGTCACACTATTTTGTCATGGAAGTCCAAGCAGACTAATGCTCACACTATTTTGTCATGGAAGTCCAACCAGACTAACGCATCATCTCTGAGCATCTTATAGATCATCTTCTTTACGCTTGGCCACTTTTGCAATTAGTCTATTTAGTTATTGAAAATATATATGGACTCAAAATAACAGAGTAAAGATGATAAAACTTAGAAATCTTTATCCCAAGAGTAAATAGAAAACTCCTCCATCATGATCATTTCTCTTATTTCAAGATTTTCATGTACAGATTGTACAGAGAAAATGATACAGTAGGCTTAAAATATGGCCAGAACAGGGTCAGAGAAAATGAAAATTGAGTTCAAATTAATGAATAAATTTATTCTGAAAGATTTAAGCTCGATTTCACTAAACATGGCAGTCATGATATAATTAATTAGCCCCTGCTTCATGATTCACCAGCCCTTCCCTTTCCATTAATGCCAGAAATACAACAAACTAGAAGTATTCTTTGAGGAGATCCTTTGGAAAGCAGATGAATTTGATTATGGCTTATAATCTTACTTATTTTTCTCTGTAAACTAGGGCCAGAATATATTCATAGTTATTTAATAGTTACAAAGTTTTCTTTTAAGGTATATGTCTCTAAACCTTTTCTCTCTTTGTGTAAAGAAAAACAGTGTTTTAAAATTTCATAAAAGGAAGCTGTCATACCCATATCCCACTATATCATATGCCATGGTGTCCTTTCTCATTCTATTTTTTGAAGTGACCATTCACTGTTTGATATCCTTATGTCACCTCTCTGTAAGTTTTATTTTTACTAAAGTGTAAATAAGTACTAGTAATAAGCAAGTTCAACTTAATAAAGAATAAAACACTCTCCACATATTTTCATTAATGACAATCAGGATGCTTGTATCTAAAAAATGAGCATTTGTCTCAAATAATCTCTAAAGAAATTTCTAAAGAGATGATTATAACCTATAATAAATTTACCTTGCAAATACCCATAAGAAGGAGCAGTCTATAAGGGAAATGCAAGGAGTTTTTGCTGGAGGTTCAGGGAAAGATCCACAAGCAATAATTCTCTAACAGAAGGGAGGTAGAAATTTGTGTTAGCGAAACACAAAAACACAACTCAGAGGCAAGACTTTGAAAGGCAATCTTATCCTAAGTAATTGGTTGGGATACTGTATGAGGAATCCTGAATGTCCTGCCAAGTCTTGTGTCACCATGTGCAATGCTTTTTCCATAAACAGTGGGACTATGGGAAAGGGTATC